CTTCGTATGTCCGTACTGATCCAACACTCGACGCGGTCGATTCCCGTGGTCGCAGGCTAACTTACCCTAAAAGGGTACATTCAAATAAAATTGCCCCGAGGGGTCCGCAAGTCAATAGAAATCAACGACAGATTTTCTGGAGCCCTCCACTCCCTCTGCGCGCTATGCGAGGTAACAACTGAGACTAGGAGTCACCATCACGGGCCGAAGAGAATGAGGTACACCCCCTTGGTTTAATCTTGGTACCTCACAACGCAAGCAGGGACAAGGCCATCTGGCACAGAAAAAGAGAGAAAAAGAGAGAAAACAAAGAGAAGAAAAAAAGGTACGTATGTATGTGTAAAGAGAGGACAGGAATGATGAGAGGTTGTTCAGGCTTATATTCTAAGCAGTTTTGACGGTGTATGGGTAGGGGGAGTACTCCCTGTGTCCGTGTCGTTCCCAGATGTTGTCGCATCAAGTGGCAGCATGTCTCATGGACAGTTAGACGTGGAAGGGCGGCGACAGGTGAACGGCAGCAGCAGCAGTATGTTGTGCATGGTGGCATGTTGGGCTTGTACAAAGACGCAGTCCATCTTCGACCACACAGGAAGGAGTTTGTTCGTACCTGTCGGAGTTTTGGAGGGCCCAAGTCAGTCTCAAGCAGCAATAGGAAGGAGCGAACATGCGCAGTGCTTCTCTACAGCTTTAGAATCCGTCCATCTCAAATCCTAACGGAGATGATTACGTATCGCACAACGGCTGGATTGGATCCGAATTGCCGGCTAGCTCCGAAAACCAGGAGAGGTGGGGGGGTAGCTCAGACGAATGGCTGCGTGTGCGCTCCTTCATGTGCATACTTGGCTGACTCTTAAGGGGTAAAATTCTGGTTCGGCGGAATTTGGCGGCATTTCGGCATTTCCAGTATTTACCTTTGTCACCTGGATGCATGGTAATTTTGGCGAGGAAGTCGGTCATAAGTTTCTCACTCTATTTCCAGGGGACACGTTTCTTTTTCAGTGTTCCCCCTTGCGGTTTCGATGGTCAAATATGCGGTTGCCCAAACATCTTTGCATCGCTACATACTACAGTGTGCCTTATTTTTCATTAGTTTTCATCGTGGTAGGCACATTATTTTCGTTGACAGGTTAGCTGTAAACGTTACAATGTATAACGTGTAATGTTGGCGTTGAATTCCGCGTTGTTGTTGTTGCATCAATTATTTCATTATTAACCATGTCGCGCAGTTAGTTCTGATGATACATAATACGGTATTACTTTCACATTCCATTTTCACAGGTTGGCCATCTCCCATCCGATGCTAAGACCATTTATTATCTCTCCACCACCAAGTTCTTTGTTTTTGTGTTTTTACATTAAGATATACCCACAGTACAAACGACATGTTACATCGCCTCAAGCAGAGATTTGCGTCACCGTCTCATCGGGTGAGCCGTCACCACCGCAGCAATCAGTATACAGATGGTGCTGCGTGGAGCAAGTGGATCAAGCCGAACCCCGGGCAAACAGGAGTAACGGGTGGCGCTATGTAGGCCCGCGAGGGGTTACGTATCGCCCCCAGGCGGTCTTCGGTGCAGGATACCGGGTTCGTATCTCGGCCTCGTCCCATAGACCAGGATATATAGATGGTTCAATTCGCATCCAGTTGGAAGTGATCAATCGCTGGAAAATTTCCAATCCTGGGCAAGAAGGAAGTGGCGGCGCGGCCTGGTCCACCCGAGAGATGCCGATGCATGGAACACCGCCTTTATCGACGTCGAGGGCGGTGGCCGCGGGCAGCTCGTAGTCTCAGCGGCGGATGACACATGGCGAACCATCCTCTGCTGGGGATCGGCGGGCAGAGAGATCGAGGTCGATCATGAAGGCATCCCGACTTCCTTGTCGAACCTCCAGGTCCGCGCCGGTATTGACTCGCCGAGCCCTAGCTTCAGACAACTCAACATCGCATCCTTTGGTAACAGGGTTGTGAGATTCGAACCTCTAACCACGTTCGGCATGACATGGAAGTAACGACTCCCTGGTGCTTGACTGGCTGTACTCGTTGCGGACGCCTGGCGAGACTGTCAAGTCGAACTTTTGGGACGAGATCGACGGAGATTTGGCTTCAGGGATGTCGACCCTGTAACGGGATCATTCACGATCTCGATCGGTGGTGGACGGCGAAGGGAGAGGGTGCCACTGAACCGCTGAGGAATGCGTTGGATGGTGGTTACTACTTCCGCAACCTGTATTCAGTGCTTCTGGGTCGAGACGTGGGGAGCGAAGAGTTCGATACGTGGCTTGCGGGGGTAAATGAACCGCCACCGCTCACCTTGCGAAACCTCGAGCAGTGGCTAAGTATGACTAAGGCGAACGTCGTCGTGTGGTCACACAGGGGCTCTGGCGACAATGTTCTTGGGCCAGTCGACGAAAAAACAAATCTCCGGCCGCCAGCATTACACGTTGGGGTTCGCGAGGGACACGTGTACCGATTGGAGGTCGACGGGCCACGGAGGGACCGGTTTGGATCATCCTTGGACGTGGCCATCGAGAATAGTGTTAGAACTCAGCGAAGATTCCGTCGGATTGCCGAGGCCGTCGAAGAGGAAGAGGAACCGGACACCACTGGGTGTGGAAGCAGGACTTTTTTGCGTGCTACGGACATCGAAAAAGAGATCATGTCCATGAGCCGATTAGACAAGGATCACGACCCGCAGTCGGCGCAGAAGCGGAAGCGAGGAACAGACGCATCAGCATTCACGACGTGGTACTCGCCTCCGGGAACTGCTCTCGACGAATTGATGCTCCACCTGCACATTCGTGGCATCTCATGCAGGGGGAAACTTACCAACTACCGCCATTGGGACTCCCTCACCTTACCCTCACATGGGATCACTATCCGAACGTGGTGCCCCGCAAGCGTGGGCGGGTTGGACCCGAACGACTTTCGACCATGTGAGGCTACCCGGTTGATTGAGCTGCAAAACGCGTTGGGTCAGCAGTTTTATCGTCGTCTCATGTACTTTAGAGTTTCGAGCCAGTACAGCCAGTCCCTCCTCGCCCTTGTCGAGATATGCTGGCGGACCAATCGTCGGCGCCGAGCAAGCGTCTGGGACTTCGTACGGGCCGGAAGACTGGCAGTGCGACATCAACGGGGCACACACGGCGGCCCTTTTGAGCATGCACACGGTGTCGGTGTTCGCCCACATGGACGAAGTGCAGGAGTAAGATGACCACGAAATTGAGGATTCGACGCTTTACGTCGTTCGGCTGGATGACACAGGGACCCTGACGTGTATCTTAACGCTGATGTGACCCCAATCACGGGTCGGAACTACAAACGGTACATTCAGTAAACTCACAGATGTGTTCGCGAGTGACCCACTTTGTGAGGCCGGCAAGGACGGTCGAAAGATGCCACATACCTTACGTGGCCAGAGAGCTGATCACGCGGGAGCTTGGGGACCCCCTCCTGCAGGGCGCCGAAAGCGCTCGCAAATTTTAGAAAGGGATATTCGTGCGGACCAGTGGAATGTTGCAGCAGAGATATGCGGACAGGATCGATGCTGTCATGGTTACGGGCAGTAACGAGGCCTTAGCTGTGGGCGGAAAGGTCGTACCGGTCCTCGGTGAAGTCCAACATGTGAAGGCCGGCCTACGCACAGGCGACAAAGAGCTGGGCTTCGAACCACTCGCTACTGGGGACGCTCACCTTCGCTTCGAAGCGAAACGAACTTGGTTCGGCGACGGCTTCTGGGCCTTGGGTGAAGAAATTCTCGACCAAACTCGACTGCATGTGTTGGAGGTACGGAATGCTCTTGAATCCTGCGGCGCATCAGACTTTAGCTACCAATGTGACGCGGTATTCTTCAAGGGATCTCCCGCAGTCCAGGATGAAATGAGGCTCCGCTTTGGCCATCTGTTCAGTGGTGAGCTCAATACTCCCGGCACTCTCAAGTTTTGCCCAGCAATGAAGAATCCACAGACCTCCGAGAGTCGCGTCTTCCATGGCATCGAAACCAAACTATCCCTGGGTGCGTTACCGCCCGCATTAAGGCAAATCCCATGCCCGCCTAAACGGGTCCTACGGGTGGTTCCGCTGTGGGATGGCATTGGGACGAGCTTCCCATCCATGGATGACACCCACAGAGCCTGGCTTCTCTCACCAAAGACCAAAAACTACAGGTTTGGCCGGAGGTATGCGAGAAGGAGTCACCAGCAACCCTTGAACGACTACTACGTGCGCTGAAGTTTGAGGAGGAAAGGGTCGTTTGCGCAGTGACCGGGTAGCATGGGGGAGAGGGGAAGAGTTACTGCGCAACCCGTGCTGCAACGGCCATCTTCAAAACTGGGCTTGTCGTAACCCCCACCAATAGTTTGAGAACGTCCTTCACAGACATGCCATGTGGGTGAAGTGTAAAGGCCGCCGACCACCAGCTCGGTATCTATATGGGGGATGATTCTCACGTGAAGAAAACGGCGGGGTCGATACGAACGCTCAAGGCTGACGTGATCATCATTGAAGAAGCTGCTTATATGCCTCTGCGGACACTAAGCATGATATTGGCTGCTGCCCATTGCAACGGCACCCACGTGATCGGGACATACGACACGCACCAACTACAACCGGTTGAGGACAGTAGCGGTATGTCGACAAGTAGGGACAATGTGGACAGGAGGGTCGTCCTCGAAAAGGCTTTCCCCATCTGCTTCCATCTCTTCGCGCGCAAGCGGGATAAAACTATCGAAGAACAAGTGGAGATGGACGATGGCCTCTTGTATTTTCTCGGCGCGGGAGCCGACCGTCACATGGCACAGACACGAGCTATCGAGAGGTTTGACTGCGGGGGCTCGACTTATCACCATAGCCCGTCAGATTTTCACCTCGCTTACACTAGAGACTGCGCTCGATTCCATGCCTTCCGAGGTTTGTTGGGGTGCAACGAACTCGGTGACTGGGATTCGCTTGGACACGCAAAGCTTGTCGGCGCACAATATCGAGACCTTGGAAAGTCGGGCAAGATACACAAGAACCATATATACAGTGTCGTTCGATCCTCGGCAGATACAGTCGTCGTCGCGAGTGCATTTGACGATGGTGCTAGTCTTGGGGAGACGTCACTCTGTCGAGCAGAAGCAGAAAACTTGTTTGATCCTCCGGGATCATGCACAGTACACGCGGTCCAGGGCCGAACGGTCGAGGGAAAATTGGTCATCCACCAAGCCCGTCATCCTCACGCCGACATGAATTGTATACGGCGATAAGTCGAGCGACCGGTCCTTCAAACGTTTCAATCGTGGAGGACGTGCACCGCAGCAAGAGCAACATGTCCGACCGAGAGAGGGTGTCATGGGTTTCTCGCAAGGTTTCAAGCTACATCTACGCCGACGTTACGGCCGGCCGTCTTGGACCAGACGAGGGTATGCAGCATAGGGAAGCTCTTCTTGCCGAAGATCTTCTGAACTCGTACGGAGGTAGATGCTGCCTTTGCTCATGTGAGCTTGTCTGGGCCGTTTACAGCGAACGCCAACCGACTCTCGACCGCCTTGACTGCTCTTTGCCTAACATTGCTGACAACGTGGACGTCAAATGCTTGAGGTGCAATCGCGCTCGTGGTAGCCAGGGGAGAGGACGCACAAAAAAGAAAAAGGTAGATGATAGTGGGAAGGAGGAGAGGTAGCCCCATCATGAACAAAGTACAGGAAATAATGTGTGTTTTTGTTAGTAGCCGTGTTCAACATGGACCAGAAGATCTCGATGTGCGCCAAATGGCTGGAAGAGCACGAGAATCCAAGCGAGGTGCTGGATGTTCTGAGGAAGCTACACCCTGGCTCCTTAAACAAGAACGTCAGAAGGGTTCGGGAAGTTTGGATACAAGCGTTCGGCGCCCGACACAATGCAGGTCCCGTCAAGATCGAAATCCGACGATTGCTCGCCCTTATCAAGAAGAAATCATCCGCGGGGAAGAAGACGAAGGGGCGGAAGGAACACCTGAAACAGCTACAGAAGGCCTGGGGTCGCGTTGTGTCATTCGAGAAATTAGACCTTACCGACAACTGGTCGGCCCGACGCGCGATACACTTGCGGACGGTGTCTTTCACTGGGCTCGCCGAAATTGACGACCTCCTGAGGAAGGTGCGGTTGCTTCCGCCCTACGTCTCCCGGTTAGAGCTGACGCCCGAGGAGAAAAGCTTGCCAAGAATAAAACGCCGAGAGTCCCTATAGGCAAAGTGTAGGCGTGGAATAACGGTGCACGCGAGCGATCACATCGACGCCATGCAGTCCATCATCAGATACGCACGCCCGAATTACTTCGAACTTGCGTGTGCGTTGTCGTTTGTGTCTGGGAGGGGTCTAGCGGAGCTTGCCGGGAACGCTGACTTTTCACCAAGCACGCGTGGCCCCTACGAGTCTGAGGTTATGATGGGAACTGTGGCCTGGGTCCTGTTTTTGTGCGAGTATAACCACTTCATCGAAGGTCTCACGAGGTTGCGCGGCATGAAAGATACCTCCTGTCTCACTGCCGCACAGATAAATCAACGTTACAGCAAGTCAGCCAACATCGCCGCTAGGAAACTATTGCCGACGGATGGTGATCGACGCGTGTTTGGTGATCTTAAGGTCTTACATGCCGCGATTTCCTACCGGG